AGGTAGGGCGGAACTGGTCCGCTCCCCCCGCATTCAACCGATGCGGAATGAGGATAATCGCGGGAATTGTCAGATTTCCGCGGAACGGTGTGACCTCACATTAATTGCTTCTTTTGAAAGGAGACCCTCGGTTGATCTGGAATATATGAAAAGACAAGGTCTGTATCATCCAACATCACGAATCACTGCCAATATGCCTGTCACTAAGTTCAACCACCCTGATCCCTATAAGTACCAGACGGGCTTCGACTCGTATCACGAGTATGTATACACAGTCAACACGGATGAAAATGAATGAACACAGAATTAATGAGTAAATAGGACGGAAGCCATCGAAGGAGCTCTGCCAATCGGTCAAAATTCCCCGCAGAAAGCTCCCTATGGACTCTACGCCGAGAAGCTCTCGGGAACGGCGTTCACTGCACCCCGCCATGAGAATAAGCAGACATGGGTGTATCGGATTCTACCCGCAGCAGCTCATGAGAACTTCACCGCGGAGGATGCCGACTCATATCATACGAGGATGACGACCGAGACCGATAAGCTTCACCACATCCCTAACCAGCTGCGATGGAACCCCTTCGACCTAGATGAGAAGGTTGACTGGGTACATGGGCTTCACCTGATTGCGGGGTCCGGAGACCCCACCCAGAAGCAAGGACTGGGCATTTTGATGTATGCCGCGGGCAAGGACATGGGCAAGGAAGCTTTCTACTCCGCGGACGGAGACTTCCTAATCGTGCCTCAGCACGGTGTGCTGGACATCCAGACCGAGCTCGGTCGCATTATTTTGCGACCAAATGAAATCTGCGTTATCCCTCGCGGTGTCAGGTAGGTGTCTTCTATATCCTCTATACGATCAACAACTAATCACTTCCATCAGATACCGAGTGGCGCTCCCAGACGGCCCTGTCCGGGGATACATCTGTGAATTATACCAGGGCCACTACCAGCTCCCGGAGTTGGGCCCCATTGGATCTAACTGCCTGGCCAACGCACGCGATTTCCAAGCCCCCGTTGCCTCTTTCGACGATGAAGAGGAAAGCGAGTACAAGCTTTACAGCAAATTCAACAACACGCTCTTCGCCGCGCGACAGAACCACACCCCCTTCGATATTGTCGCCTGGCACGGCAACTACTACCCCTTCAAATACGATCTCGGCCGATTCAATGTTATCGGTTCGATCTCATTCGACCACCCCGATCCTTCTATATTCACTGTGCTGACAGCTCCGTCGGACCATGTCGGTACCGCCGTTGCTGACTTTGTTATCTTTCCTCCTCGTTGGCTCGTCGCAGAGGGTACTTTCCGCCCACCTTGGTATCACCGTAACACCATGTCGGAGTTCATGGGTTTAATTTCTGGTGACTACGATGCGAAGGTCGGTGGAGGTTTCAGGCCGGCTGGTGCTAGTTTACACAACGTCATGAGCGCTCATGGTCCGGACTCGGGTGCTTTTGAGGGAGCTAGCAATGCTGAACTGAAGCCTCAAAAGGTTGGTGACGGAAGTATGGCTTTTATGTTTGAAAGGTTCGTTCGATTTCCGCTATCATTTCCAAGACTTCATATTTGCTGACAATCGTTAGTACTCACATGGTCGGCGTCTCGGAGTGGGGTCTTAAGACCTGCGAGAAGGTGCAGCCAGAATACAACGAGCACAGCTGGAAGCCTCTCAAGCGGCACTTTGTGAACCCCAACAAAAAGGCATAAGCTATGGTTCGGGCCTGAGCACTGCGATGAGGAAATATGCACATCTCCTCTTATTTCTATAGCATAACAAGATACCAGCACTCAATCAAATCTATCAAAATAGTTTTTCATTATTGCTTCATGATTTCAGATACAAGTTCGCAAATTAAATTATTTCTTCATGTTATATAATCTTCACCCCTCAAGCTCCTTCCTCATCGCCTCTTTAACAATAGCCCCGCACATCTTAGCATAAGGATTCGTCTGCACAGAAAGCTGCTGCGCAACCTTATTTCCATAGCGACCCCCAACGAAGAAATCCCGACTGGCCATTTCTTCAAGTTGATCAGCCGAAAGACCACGCAGACGCTCTGGGCCTGTCTCGTCATCACCAGAACCAGCCTTCTTCACGCGCGCCGCTTTGAGAAGCAGGTATCCCCGATGCGTGTGTGCATCAGCCAATAGCCGTGCCTGGGTTGTTGAGACCGCATCAGCCGGGGAGGCGGGTGTGGCAAAGGTTATGGCTTGGCCTAGGTCAGAGAAGATGCGGGAGCAAAGCTGGGAGGTTTTAGGAGCAAAGAGGGCAGCATCGGCCGCCTCGGTGTAAGTGCTTTGATCACTACCCGCTTCTGGGACGTAGATCAGATCGACCAGCAGGCGGAGTGTTTGTGCTCGGTTTGTGTATGCGGAGGGATATGTTGGATGCTGGGTAAGTAGAGTGTCGAAGTCGTTTAGTGCCGACTGGACTGTCTCTATACTGGGTGATTTGTTTGATTGCAGCTTGCGGATGATGTCTGTTTCGCGATGCTTGAGCGATGCCAAGTCTGTTTCGGGGATGTTCAGAGATGATGGCCATGAGGCAAGGGATGCATCAATGGTTACTCCCGATGAGGGGGAGGATTCGGCGTCAAATAGAGCTTGTAGGACAGCCGAATCATTAGATGTCAATGATGGGCGAGCAGTTGCGATAGATGTCATCTTGGGATTTGGGGTTGAGGCGAGGAATTGTGGGATATTGTGAGGCTCAATCTGCAGTCGGTTCTATGCACAATAATTGAAGAACAAAATAAAATCTTTCAAGAATTGTGAATCTAAGAAATCGATCTCCAGGCGGATATTAACGATGATCTCAGCGGGCCCGGGTATCTCCGGATATTTCAGGGTCCTGAAATAGCCGTGCGGCCGGGAGCTATGACAAGGCGTCCGAGTGTAAAGTAACAAAAGTGGACTGAAGAAGATATCTGCCGAGATGACTTGCGGCTACTGGAGGATCAGCTATTTGAAATCAAAGGAACCGAATATTTAACTTCAACTCGAATTCCCCGCCTCTCATCTTGTACTACCATCTTTCTACGTTTTCCACCAATATCACCATCATACAAACATAATAGATTCAGCAAAATGGCTCCTTCAGCTATTTCCAATAGTCCTCCCCCCTCAGTTGTCGACGAGGCATCTTCAGTGGCCAGCTATCGTGGTTACGACCATGTCCACTGGTACGTTGGCAATGCCAAGCAGGCCGCAAGCTACTACATCACCCGCATGGGCTTCAAACGTATAGCCTACAAGGGCCTTGAAACTGGCAGCCGCAATATCTGCTCTCATGTCATCCGCAACGGCGATATCACCTTCGTCCTGACCTCCCCTCTGCGGTCCCTTGACCAAATTGACCGTTTCAATTCCGAAGAACAAGCCGAGCTAAAGGAGATCCATGACCACCTCGAGAAGCACGGTGATGCAGTAAAAGATGTTGCCTTTGAGGTTGACAACGTCGATGCTGTCTTCTTTGCTGCCGTGAAGAATGGCGCCAAGGCTGTCTCTAACCCTAAGGTTCTTGAAGATAAGAGTGGCCATGTCAAGACTGCTACTATCCAGACTTACGGGCAGACCACCCATACTCTTATTGAGCGCAGCGAGTACCGCGGTATCTTCATGCCAGGCTACCGTGCTGAGACTAGTAACGAGGATCCCATTTTGCAGTTCTTGCCTGGTGTTCATCTCAAGCGTATCGATCACTGTGTTGGAAATCAGGACTGGAATGAGATGGATAAGATCTGTGAATAGTAAGTTAAGCCCAGATTGCTTTATTTGGCCTCAATTACTAATCCCTTGGTTAGCTACGAGAAGGCCCTTGGCTTCCACCGTTTCTGGTCCGTCGACGACAACGAAATCTGCACGTGAGTGTTATAATATATTTTAGCTGACCTCCAAGAACCATGATTAACCTTCTAATTATAGTGAATTCTCAGCTTTGAGTAGTGTGGTCATGGCCTCCCCCAACGAGATCGTCAAGATGCCCATCAACGAGCCAGCAAAGGGCAAGAAGCAATCCCAGATCGAGGAATACGTTGACTTCTACAACGGTGCCGGTGTACAGCATATTGCGCTTCACACCGACGATATTATCCGTGACATTACCAATCTCAAAGCACGTGGTGTCGAGTTCATCAAGGTACCTGAGACATATTACGCAGATATGCAGGCCCGCTTGAAGCAGTCTGGCATAGTACTCAAGGAAAGCTTCGAGACCATCCGCAGCTTGGATATTTTGATTGATTTCGATGAGGGTGGCTATCTGCTGCAGCTATTCACCAAGGTATGTGGAAATTAACGACTCAAGTATTCGTGGATTTATACTAACTAAACAAATAGCACATGATGGATCGGCCCACTGTGTTCATTGAGATTATCCAGCGACACAACTTCGAAGGCTTCGGAGCCGGTAACTTCAAGTCGTTATTTGAGGCCATCGAACGAGAGCAGGAACTCCGCGGTAACTTGGTTTGAGGACAAAAGAATTCGTATAGTCGGGCATTTTTTCTATGAGTCCTTGCAGTTTGGGAACGTACATCTTGTATTTAGCGAATTGGGAACTTTCACTTAATATAATATTTCTGAAGCATGCCATGGTCCGCCGACGTTTCGTAATTCAAGTCGATACTTGGGAGATGGTCCGCTTTTGTGCATTCCGGCTTCCCAGTGGTGATTGGCAGCTTGCAGCTCTAGGAGAGATGGCGCCATATGTGTTGATTAAAAGGCGGCGAAATAATTTCCAATTTGCTGTGTACTTGATGGAGACCATCAGCGTCGTATTGAATCTCCTCCAGCTGAGATACTTTAGGGGAAGTAACAGGTGAAACAAGCGATTTGAATGAAGCAAATTTGGAATCTTAAAAGAACAAATACCTACTCTACTCTAGATCAACCGAGCAATCAGAAGCAACTTATTGCTCCTACCACCGTCTCGAACCCCATTCTTAATAGCAACTCCGATCATCCAGTAATCCCCCGTCAACCTCCAAGTCCGACCTCAGTCGCAATATCGATCCAGCAAGTCCGCAAGCTCACGCCAATTCTGTCGAATCTTGAACTGAAGCTCATAGAGATGTCTCGCCGTGCTACTCGGATCTGGTCCAGCAGCATCAATGTCGCCCTTTGCCATTCGGTCTTCTCGAAGTTGAAGCCGTTCTATCAAGTATGTTTCCCGCTTGAATATGGCCCTTGATTCATCAAGCAAACGTTCCTTATCATCGAGCCATTTTTTCTGTGTTTGCACCAATTTATTCTTTATTTTATGATTCGGTGGCTCTGAATATATCTGCACCGTATTGGCTTGGTATTCCTCTTAGCGCTACTTATAGCAGCGCCGCTCATTATCAATAGTATCACCCATATAGCAACGCAGGTGGCGGCTTCTAGCGAGTACAGTATCGCGGACATTTTGGTTTGATGGATTTGATTGTGCGAGTAATTGGTGAGTAAGGTGAGTAACAAGAAGATCAGGTGAGGATGAGATTTGACACTAATGATGAGACACTAATGATGTTATGTTTAGGTTTTCGCTACTTAGGTTAGGAAAGGGTTTTTTAAGATTGAAATAAACTATTGTACTTGATATATTGAAATATACAATAGTCTTAATCTCGTTTTTATTCATTTACTTCCGCTTCGATGAACTCGAAGTGGGAGCATTGGCTCCAATCCGCTTGAATTTCCTCGGATCTAGAGCCCCATTAGATGAGTGCACTCGCAGGAAGTTTAATATGAGAGACATACCTTTCCGACTCATTAGAGTCCGATTTCTCGTTCCTTTTCCGCCCTCCCAGAACCCACTACCTGCCTTTCCAATCAAGACTGCTTTGCAAATACCGCAGTTCTCAGGCCTGTAGATTTGCTCGCGGGAGCAGTAGCCACATATCATACGATTTGCGTGTTCGTTCGGGTGGTCGGTTTCCGCATCGTGGCATCTAGGTAAACCAATAAGCACTTGAAAAAGGATGGAGATGCATTTAGTAGGAAACCATACTTGTCACAAGGGAAAACCTTTGAGCAGCAGCTGAATCTGTACAGGGGTCAGTATAACCTATTTTTCGAGTGCTACCAACTCATGGATAGAGGACCACATACCTAAACCAGCGTTGACTCTTGGCGTAGTGCTGGCAACGACCGCGACGCGGAAGTTCTTGTCCTGCGACAATACCGAGGACTTCCTGGGGCTGAGATAATTGTTAGATTTTATCGTGATGATACACGCTGTAGATTATACGAACCTTTCTCTTGGGAGGGAGGGCTCCACGAGAGGTGACTAGATAATACAGCAATGAGTAAAAAGCGTCTCCTGTGGGCTCAATATATCGGGACTTACCTGCTGCATTCCCTACCAGAAGGAATTTTACCTCCGGGATCTTGAAAACTAAATTTGGATATGTTAGTAGCCAAACAACGGACACTGCATATCATACCTACCCATTTTGCGATGACACTCGCGACATGTACCCATGGCACTCTCGCCGCGAACTGCAGGTATACCCGGTGCCGGATGGGGGGTCGAGCACTCGGAGCAAGTTGGGATGAAGTCGCTATAGCGAGATGGGTTAGAAAATAGCACTTTAATGATGTTGCGCGAACCAACCTAAGGAGCATGTCCCCAATCGTACAGCCGCCCAAGTCAAGGTAGCCAGCACGATTGGCATGAGAATGCATCAACTGCCTCCGGAATGCTGCACATGAAAGTCAGCAACCCATCACGAAAAGGAGAATGAGGTTGGATGTACTCACCAACGCTCATATTATTAGCGCATTTCCTGCACGACTCCATTTTTGGCATCTGGCCCTTCTCATCGGTAATTTGTGGCACGTTCTTGATGTCGACCGCCACCTTACATCTGTCACATTTGATTGTAATATTGAGGCTCGTGAGTTCCAGAAGCTCAATTCCGTAGAGCTCTAAGAATGGGAAGGAAAGTGCGATGCCTCGTCCGGGCGCGTTGTTGTCCACTGATGCGGGAACGGGTGCACCACCTTCTTCGTCTTCCTCTTCATCTGAATACTCGTCTTCCTCGTAACTCGACTCGCCCGATGTCCCGTCGGCGCCACTGTTGGGATTAGGAACCGACCATTCGGGTGGCCGTGGAATGACAACAAGATGTGGCTTGTCTTCATTATCTTGGGTTAAGGGCACGGCAGGTGCTTTTGTAGGCTCTTCCACAACCTCATCCTCGTCCTCTTCAACAGTCAGAGGTATATCATCCACGGGCCCCTGCTCTTTTGGTAAGGGTGTTTCAGCAAACTTATGGATATTGCTCGCTAGATAATTGATCTGAGATACCAGACTCAGCTGCGAAGTCTGTTCTACCCACTGAGTAAATCCCACTTCTGTGGCTTTCACTTCGGGGCCTTCGACTCCTTGCAACTTGATCGAGCTGTGTTCGAGTGGGTAGAGTTGTGGCACGATCAATTTCACGGTCTTGAGCGCTTGAAGTGTTCGTGGCAGGCGGTCCTTTTTAGTTGGCTGGAGTGGAATAACGTATGTCCTGCCATCTTGCAGTTTTTGATACATCGGCAGTCTTCCAAGGCGCGCCTCGAGCTGTTTTGTCTCGGTTGCTCTTCTCTTCTCGGCTGTAGCTTTTGCTTCGGCTGTGTGTTTAGGTACTACAGTTCGTGGCTGTGGTGTTGGTTTAGCAGCAGCACTCGGCGTTCTACCATGACCTTGAGACGAGTCTGGCTGGGTTAAAGTCTTCTCCGGGGCCTTAGTAGGTTCTTTGGTCGTAGATCCATCACCAACGTTAGCGAAAAACTTCAGTGTCGGCCCCCGCTCCAGTGTGGTTAGCAGTGATTCAAGCTTTTTGTCCAGACTGTTCAGCCAACCCAAAAGAGTTCCTCGGCCATTGGTGCGGTATGTAAAATCAACAATATCATTGAAACCTCTGACGACATTTGCTTGATACGCCGCTTCCATTTCAGAATTGGTCACTGCAAGCGTGGGCCGCCCTTTCGGGTATGAGCTTGGGACATGAAGCACACATTGGAGTCTTTCAAGCTCAAATGGGAAGTCCGGATCAGAAGGTACCAAGCCGAAGGTTAAAGTAGAACCTTGAGTATCATTGACTTCCTGTGGACGGTAACGCCGCCTCAATTGGTTGATCTGAAACTCTCTTGGATCTGACTGCTCCAGTTTCGAAACCGGTCTTTGGGGCTGGACAGCAGCTGCGGCAGAGGCCTGCTTCGACTGGTTCCCAACGTTCAGTTTCTCGACCCTAGTGACAATATCTTGTGCCGAGGTCTGGCTTTCATTTCCCGAGGAATTGGCTGGTGTCTCAATGGCCGAGATATCATGTAAATACGGACATGCTGCTCCAATTCGGCATCCTTGAGGAATGTTAGCATATGATCTGAACACGCCCTCTTATCAAATGACAAGCACCGAGAATACATGCGCAAAGGGTTAAAGCACAGATCAATCGTGCAATTCTGGTCATAGCCTCGGTATAAGTGCCCCTTCGGGTGATCCTGTGTACAGGATCTTGTTTGTGGCACCCAAGTCCATATTCAATGACGCGTTGATAATTGCATAGGGAAAAAACAGGCAAAGATCCTTTACAGACAGAAACTCAGAATGTAGACTTACCCTTTTTGGTTTTGAAAAAGCGACATTTCTTCCGCTGGATCGATGACTGGCGAGCAGCACTCGTTTCATCGGTGGATGCAACGCCATGCGACCGGACCGCTGACAACTCATCATTTATCAAAGAGGATGGCAGCGCTGTACCTATTGAACAAAAGTATCATGAGCGTGTGATCACAAAGAGTTGCGGGCGGCCGACTCCGATCCAGGCATATTGGCAGACCGGGGCCACCCTGCACGCCAACGAAGCCTTCGGAGAAGATAACATGAGAACTGATAGGCTTTGTGGCGGATGCAACATGTGGTGCATGGACATGCAACAGGGGGGCTGAAAATACGAGAGCCAGTGAATCCGCCCAAGTAGATCTCGTAGAATTGATTGGGAGAAAAGCTTCCGGCGAGATGGCTTTTAGGAGCCAATAATAGAATTTTGCTTTGACATACCTTGGGGTGTTGGACCCGCCTCGTCAAATGACCTATTCTCCATACTGAAACTGAGCCTCGAGCCGTGTTGCGAGAGATGATCCAGAATGGAATGGCCGGGTTCTGGGCGACTTGGAGGTGACGCGCGCTGCCAACGCAGAGATCGGGTGACCTTGAGGAGATCGACAGGACCAGATCTGCACAGTAAGTAAGCCGAGGTGTGCGACCGTCTGAACTCTTGTAGCGATATTTGAAGTCACGGCGCTAAGCAAGAATAAAACGGAGGGAAAACTGTGAAGAGATACAGCCACGTGACGTCGAATGTCAAAGTGGTCACAAATAAGCAGTGGTAGTTATCTTAAGGTCTGAAGATATGAAGCTATACAAGAAGTTATAGTTGTTTACAGTTTTACTGGCAGTCGAATGCCAAGACTTCAGGCGGAACCGATGATCTCATTCGCCTTCACATTCACTCATTTCCAGTCATAGTGTTAGCTGTGAGTCACAATGAATCGATTCGCCCAGGTGGATTGGAGGTTTCTAGTTGAAGGTCTCCAAATGTTCGGGGATGTTCTAATATGGAGTCTCCCTATTCAGCCCCAGTACACATTAATGCCTTCATCGTATGTTGTACAATGTACAAGTGCAGGCTCACAAATCTTAATAATGATAGTCATTGCATGGTCCTCACATTGAATATCATCTCAACTATATAAAGTAGGTTTCGTCATTTCACATCCAAATCCCAACCTAATGCTGTGGCGTGCAGGTCTTAAAGCACATCATCTGCTCGAGGCCACAACAGGAAGCCAAAACCAACCAAGTACTAGCATTGATTGGCAATAATCTTCCTGCGCATCACCAATGCATGTAGAATACATGAAACAAAAGCCATTCGAAAAAGAGCGAAGAGGGAAACATGATTCCGAATTCCATCTGCCAGCAGAGCATATACCACGCAGAGCGCGGCACCCGCCTTATCTCCCACATCCATGCCGGGGGATATCCCCTTAACAAGGACCCAGCCCCGGCGAAGCCATGCGAGGAGAGAAAAAGATAAACATCACCGAGAGACGAATACGACCCGACGGGCGCAACAAGCTCAGCGCACTATGTTCAACGGCCACCAGTCACGGATAGCGGTCGGTCCGCGTTGCGCGGAGAAGATGAGGGGTTCGCTTTCGAGTTTCTAGAACTCCATCCTGCGCGATGGGTGCCAGGGTACGCGTTTAACCGGGATGCAACATCGATCCCACTAGATATAACGGCTATATATCTTGGTTTCTTTTCGGGACCGTGTCCATGCATGGCCTGCGTACCTAATAAGGTAAGAGCAAAGCGACCTTCGAAGAGCTAGGGAGTGGAGCCAAGCCCGCGAAAATTGGACAGTGCATACTAAGATGATCCCACTTTAATCTGGAGGAAACTCTGAAATCCCACACAATAATAGCTGTGGCGTAAATGGTTTTGGCGAGGCTATCTGGAGGTCACTCGGATGTACAGTGGGACCTCTAATGTTGTATTCTATGCATAAGCCCTGTGGCTACCGCTAGTAAGACAGGATCGGGGAGTTACAAGATATACTTCTGTCTTAGATGTAACATTCCCTATAGCCCTGGATTGCCAGCTGTGAATTTAAAATAAGATAAGCTGCTTTAAAGAAGATAAAAATGTTCCATCAGAAACTCCTCATCAAGCTACAAGGATACAAAGTACAATATACCGAGAACATCCATGGGTACTCCGTACTTGGGTTGAGCCTCGGTCAATGCATCGATAAGGGAGCTCCGCTCCGCGGTACTGGGCTTCCGCTGTACAAATATGGTACTGTAAGAGACGAATACAATACCGTAAGGTAAACACCGAAAGCGGAAAAGCGCGAATCGGACCTGGAATTCATCGGCCAACCGGATCGTCCTTCCAGAAGCCTTCCAAATCGCGCTCGGTCTTCCATGGGCGTTGGCGCGTTTGACCATGGATAGCTTGCAGCTTTCGAGGTTGAGCTCATGCCGGCATTTCTATATACTGATATGCCCTACGGAATATATGATACCTCCTGATATTTAATACAATTAATACATGTAATATTATTTGATTCTCTCAATATGGCAGCAATTCAAGATATTGATCTTGCGGGGTTTCGGAGTACAGAGCTCCTAGAATACATAGCTGATACACGTGATTCGTCTCCACCGGACGGCCTAGAATAATAATTCTGGCCAATCACAGGTGCTGTAATTGTGTTGAGATTTGCAGATTCAGTGTGAATGTCGCCTTTCTTGGCCCAGGGAAAACAGGTGGGGGCCAATCCCGATCGCCTCGTTCGGGATTTCGCCGAATACTAATATCATTCGGAACAGCCACGAAACATGGGATGTTGTGCATATATTGTAGTGGCAAATGTCGTGAAGTGGTTTGGAACAGCTGATATGAATCTTGCAGCACTAATACTAAAATTTTCGACATGTCCCCTAAATTGAATAACAAGAATTCTGCAAAGCGTAGCTAGTCCAACTCTTAAAATAAATCCGCGCCAAAGCAAGGATCGGCTCTGTTCTAGAGCTCGAGAGGCCTAGACAGGGTTTGTATGGGTCGTGGTTGGCCGATCACTTCATAACGGAGGACGATCAAGAAGAAATCAACGGAGACTCTTGCGCGTCTTGGATTCGCCTCAATCATCGAAGAGCCTGGACAAAGCGATCAAAGCTGTATGCGAAGTGCCTCGATCCTTGAACACCGACAAGACGCCCTATTTCGAGCTCACGAGCGCGATATCCTTGCATCCTTGCATATCGTAGCTTTCGGGGATATGCTGCAGCTACATCGGCTTGCCGATTGCACGTCGGGCGCACATCACCAACCCGATGAGCCAGTTAGGCGTCAATTCGTCAATCGTACAGCAAGCACTGCCAAGCAGGCGACATCCACTTTTTCTTCCAACAACGCCTCTTCTTGAAGCCCTGATCGTGGAGAGGTCCGTGGGGGTTAGTACGCGGTACCCATAACATATGTATGTAACAAGTTGTATTAAGCCCCAAATAGGAAATGCGGAGCCGAAGTTGTCATGCGTGTACTCCGTGCGGCGTCAATTAGAAAATTTCAGTACCGGTGAAAAAGGAGACAGCGAATCCTGCCTGTCCCTGGTTCGGAGTGATCCACCGTGATACCCACTTTGCTGTATGAAGCTAAGATGAAGAAAGACTCTTCTGGCCGGGAAAGGGAGGAGTTAGCCCTAACTGGGCAGGTGGATTCTAGAGATGGAGGCTGGAATGCGAACGCAATGTACAACATATAGAGGTTTGGTGATGGTTCTAGAGGAGGCTCTTGTTTCATCTTAAATGATTCACTGTCATTGGATCAGCATGGAAGAAAGGGGCTTGGGATAAAAGTATTGATCTGGGCTATATTGAGTCAATATTGCTTTTCCTCGGTGAGTACAGAGAACATGAGATCTGTTATATCCATGTTATTGGCTTCGTTTGGTTGTCAGATGCTTGTTTCTCCTTTGTTTCTCCGGCAGTGAATGGTTCTATGTATTGGAGCCCCACGGCTCGGATATGACCGGACAGACTGGAGACGTTCCTAGAATGGAGATGATGTCGGGAGTTTTAGGAGGAAAAAGTCTTCATCCCCACATCAGTTCAAAGTTGGAGAAGGGAGTTGTACATACGTCATTTGCTGGGACACTGCGGGACATGGGGTGGACTACCCCGTAGCGTAGATAATATTAGGTCAAATTGGTGTCTACCGGTATTATTTAAAGACGAGATGAGACGTGGAAGATAGTCGACGGAGGTCAAGACACGTACGACATAACACATAGAAATAGATCTTGGGCGTCAAAATCCAGCGGCTCCACCCCCGGATCATGTGCACCGGTCATGTGCAGCTACCACATGACTACTGTGGACACCCGGTAAACCCCCATACTAAGGGTTACGATGTATACCCCATAAGGCTCCTTCTATTGGCATTGCACGCCACTCTGATTTACCCTCTGACACATCTCGAGGCCTCACACATCTCTTGATGGGAATAAGCAAATCCAACCGAGAAAGCACATGGAAACGCAATTATGCCAATAATGACATCAACGTGATAATTAGTCAAGATCTACACGTCAATCTTCATCCTTCAGGCAACTACTGCCAGTAAGACATGGCAAAATGTAAGCGAAGGCAAAATCATGATGAAAACACGCATAACCCAGGCAAGATCCATGTAAAAGATCTCCATGTAGACAACAATCACAATTACTCATAGTGTCATAATGAGGCCGTCCAGCGGAACGTGATTCCCTCCTACATCCCCTGAGAGTAGGTACATAGTAGTTTGTACATCGTGCGGAGTACCAGTAGCACAACCCCACGCCTAAGTAAGCCCCCGGATTCAACGCAAAAGCAGGGAAGATACAAATCCCAAAAGTATAAGTATCAACAGGCCTAGAACTCACCTTGCCAGCCACAGAGTGCAAGCCCAATCCAATCACCCTCACCCCCGGGACCTCCGAGGAGCTGGCCCTGCGAAACATGCAGGGCGAGAAAGCCACCGCGGACTGAGCACTTAAGTCGTCGAGTCGATCGCAAGTCAACCACCACCTCCCGACTGCCGCGGGAGCTCTGGCATAAACTAATGCAAAGGTGACATAGCTTCTCGTATGTGCCAGGGCCAATGTGAGGCCGAATAAAGAGTATTGCACCGAGGGATCTCGCCGGTCGATCGGGTCGGTTATGGTTATGGAACGGCTATGGACACTTCTCTTCGGTAAAGACTTCGGGGCTGTACGGGGTTAAATTAGCTTGTAATATCAACTATCAATGTCACGACCTTTCAGCGTTAGAAGACCGTGATATGACATATGGTCAAATCCATAATTAGAAAAGAAATCCGAGTTTCTGGTCTGTGTTCTAGATCTGCGCGAACTGTTCGCTTCTCGGGAAAGATAGGTACTTTTGGCATCTTTTTCAAGATTCCGAACGGGCCCTGGGATATTAGGTGCGGTGCTTTTTGATTGACCCCTGTATTGATTTTTTTTGCATCCCACCTGACCTTTATTATTTTTGG